CGCCCGAGACCCCGTCGCCGAGCCCCAGCGGAAGCAAACGATTCTCCGACTACTTGAGACCGCCTCGCCGAGGCCCCGCGTCCGAGGCCCCCTCGTCGAGGCCCCTCGCCCGAGGCCTCGGAAGAAGTGCCGATTCTCCGATTCAGCGCGAGGCCGGCTCGGCACCAACCCCTGTGACCGCTTTTTGACCAAACCGCTCGACCGAACGTCGCATCCAAGCGCCCAACCACTCGACAGACCTTGCGACGATGGCACAAGATCACATGAAGGACCGACTACACGCCACCGCGTCAACCTCCGCCATCTGCGACGGCACAGTAGTAGGGTTACCGACCACCGTCTTGCTTAACTCCTGCACCAAGGACATCGCAACGTGGGGAGTCGAGCGGGTTCCTCGTAGCCTCGGAATCGGCGGACCGACCGTTCCGTCCTGCCCGAGCCCTCGACAGGGCCTCGATTCACTGATCTTACTCCGCCTCGCCCGTCGCCTCGCCTTGAGACCCCCGTAGGGCCTCGGACGACCAATTGGCGGCCTCCGCCGCCTTTCAAGGCCGGGCTCATCCCGCAACCTCGTCGCCTCCGCCTCAAAAGTCTCTCGGACAGTCACATGTCGATCCGACACGCGCTCACCGTTGCACCCGCTCGTAGCCCACGATCGGCGGTCTTGGCAGCAACAGAGCGACGGGACAACGGTCGATCACCTTTTCTACCATCCCTTATCGACAATACAGTACCAGATCCTCGAGGCGCCGTCTCGCACTATTCCGCTTTGATGGCCAGGCCGAGACCCGCAGATCTCGCACTGGTCACTTCTCGGGCCTCGGCAACAGTTCCTCGGACGACAGGCCTCGGCACGACCGGCTACGATGGCCGCCGAGCCTCTGCAATCCACCAAGTCAACAAATGCGCAACATGTTACTTGCAGTGGAGACCATACCAATTAGACATCTACGGGAACTCCCACGACAACGTCATGCTGCTCCAGGAGTAGATACGTCATCGAATAGTCCTTGCTCCACGTGTAGCTCTCTTATGTACTCCTGGTTTCCTCCCTGCGGCTATAAAAGGAGGCAGCCATGACCGTTTCTAGGGACGGCGGATAGAGTCACGAATACTCGCACAAACACACGAATACTCGCACAAACAACACGCCTCATTCTGTAATTCATATCACCTCCCCTCACAGAGACCTGGGACGAACTCCCTCTCTCGCCTAGCTTGTAACCCCGTACTACGAGCACCCCGGTGCAAGGAATACAAGAACATCATCTCTGACTGGACGTAGGGCATCCATTGCCCGAACCAATATAAACCTTGTGTCTCTTTGCATCTCCATCCGGAATTGGGAGCACGCAGCACAAATTCACTAGTCGGTTAAGGACCCCCGGTTCCGAAACACCGACAGTACAACTAAACTGTACAATTAGTTTTTAATTTCGTCAAGATTTCGTACTCCATATATGTACCACAATTTTAATGTGACAGGGAATTTTCTTTTTACATAGTGCCAAAGTTTGAATTCTGGTAAACACCCCCAAGAGGCAAGAGCCTACCAGCACTGTGCAAGTGCAACACAGCAGCGAGCAGGGAGGGAGATAAAGGTCAACACCAAGCAATGAAAGGAAGCAAAGGGCTACCTAATTTTACGGAGTCACAGTGCCTAATTGGAACGCAATGATTCAGCTGAATTTTAACCAGAAATGGCTGTGATTTCCGCGTGAATCAGTACAAGTACCCATGTTCCACAGTCCACGCAATGGCCTGACCCCAAATCAGTTTATTTTCAGACAAAAACACAAGAAATAGGGAACCTACATTCCAAAGGAAACTGAGCGCGTGTTTAGTTCTCTGAATTTGGGTTACGGTAGCACTTTCGTTTTTATTTGACAATTCGTGTTTAATCATGGACTAATTAGACTCAAAACGTTCGTCTCGCAATTTCCAACCAAACTGTGCAATTAGTTTTTTTTCGTCTACATTTAATGCTCCATGTACGTATCATAAGATTCGATGTGATGGCTACTGTATCACTTTTTTGGGAATTTGGATGTGAACTAAACACGCCGTGAAAATTCCCATGAATTCCATTCGACCATACCAGCGTTCTACTTTCATGATTCCTTTTTCATCTATACATGGGTCCAGTTTAGTTCCCTCCCAAAATACCAAATTTTTCAAGATTTCCCGTCACATCGAATCTTTAGACGCATGCATGAAGTATTAAATATAAATAAAAAATAAAACTAATTACACAGTTTAGACGAAATCCACGAGACGAATCTTTTAAGCCTAATTAGACTATGATTGGACACTAATTACCAAGTAACAACGAAAACTGCTACAGTGTTATTTTGCCAAAAATTTTGGCATCTAAACAGGACCATGGTCTACTCTAGAATGCTGTCATGGTTACCAACAACAAGGTGCAAGTGTAACACACCACACGCTCAAGAGTTATTAGCCGTGCTTATCTTTACCTTGCTGGGACACAAGGCTGTACAGTGGGCCAAATCATTATCCCCCTCCGGCGTGACGAAGAAAGATTCAACGAAGCATCATGTGCCACTTTCGCTCCTCCATTTTTGCTTTGGCCTTTGCCTCTTCTTTTCATGCTCGCCCTTCTCGTCGGCATCATTTCCCCCTTCTCCCGCGGCGAGCTGATTGCAGATTTGCACTCTACTTGGACAGATCGGCAGCACTGTAGAGAGAGGGCCAGCAGCCAGATGCCTCGACCATCAACGTACGTAGAACAAAATCATTAGCATAACTGGATGATGATGGCGACTATTCTTCATCCAAGTAACAGGGAAAATCACTAATTGCCAAACGGAAAAGGAAGGATATATGTTTCGTCAAGATCATGCCAAGAGTTTACGCAAATGAGAACAAACGGATCGTAATCCGTGACATGAAAAGGATAGCAGCAAATTCAGACTCGGGCCGTTGTGCACCACCCAGCTAAATCATTTCTGCTTTAGCCAAGAGCCATCTCTCCAAGCACAGCTTGGTGCGATCAAGTCTAACTAATAAACGCATGACCTTTTCCACGTTAATTAAATACCGAGTTCATTCTTATTGCTCATACATAGGGCTGCATGCTAGCAGCGAACTAGTTAACACAGGGAGCGATGGATACGTCCATGTGATGTCCATCCCTCATGATTCGCATGCTACTATTAGCTTTCCTGCCAAAAAGGGAAAAAAAATCGATGCCCATCAGTATCTCGAAGACCATGGTCATAGATTAAGAGTTTGAGTTATAGATAAAGACACAACCATCTTCAGCATCAAACTGATTATAGTCATAAGAAGCCATATAGGACACTACAGGGTTTTTCCTGCTGCATTTTCGACTATAGCACAGAAGTGGATAATGTAGTGATGTTTTACTGACTATAAAGTCTGTCAATAAGGTGACCACAAATCCAAAAGATGCCATTCCCAGGGGATGCAAGTATGCAAACTAACACCAATCGCCAGTGGCATATCTTCCAAATCTCAAACCAAACCGTGTACATTATAATACTTATTAAACAGAGTTTAGCTATGTATTAAATCTGTATTACAAAAATAATAATACTCCTAATTTAATAGCAAAACCCACTCCGTATTCTGTATGTCTACATGAACACAACTGATGCAATCTGAAAATCACATGTCCGCTATGCTCAAAATGATTGGAAGTTGTGAGAGTAACAACACCTATACTCAGAAAGCACCGTCAGTACAGTGTAATATTTTATAGCACATACTGTATTTTTGGCAGAATGGATACTATTTTGGACCATTTTGCAGGGCTCTGAGCAAGGATACCTCACACCGAGTTTTCCTAGAGTTTAGTACCAAAATTTGCTTGATTGTTCGCTCTACGTTTCACACATCACAATCACATGGATATTTTGATGTGGTTCTTGTTGTTTCCATGACGATCTTTTTTATGTTAAAAGTCATAATTAAAATCTTAGACCGATGTTTGTAAACTCAGTTCCTAGTGAAATCAAGTGCTGCTCTTCTGCAGTCTCTTCAAATATCCTCTTTGAAGTCCCAGAGCTATCAGCCTTTTCAAACCTCCATGTATTGCAGCCTGACCAGCTAACAACTTACCATTAACGGGGAACATGCCTCATACAGTCATATTGCATCTATTTGGTGCATCAACTTGTCCCTCCCTAGTAATGAAACTCAAATCTCGTGCAAATATCCGTAAAGAGCCAAAGATTGTATACAGAGGAGTTATGCACCCATTCAATAGTCCACTGACATTGTACTAGCACTAGTTTCTGTTTATCTAACGTGAGTAATGCAAATTAAAGTTTAATAATTTTTATGTGGGGTCAGTGAACACCCTAAGCCTGGTATTATTTCATAGGAAGTTGTTATCAATGTGGAGCTACATATATTCCTTGAGATCTACAGCTAATTGAAATTACTGAACTCCAAGGTAAACAGCATCTGATGTTGCTTCTGCCTTATAATACTTGTCCCTTAAATTTAAGAAGTCTACAGAATGTAATACACCTTATACGATGTATCTAGCTGATCGAGCGAATGTTTTAGCCTGTGACTTTTCAGCATTGGCTTTTCTCTAAGATCTATGCAGCTTCATGTAAAGCTTAATGAGCCATATGTTTGTAATATATGATGTCTAATTGAATAAAAATTACAAATCAATAAGCAGACTAAAATCAGACTTAGAATCACTGTGGTTCCAAACTTCCAATACTTAAAGAAAATTATGTTCCAGTAGGATTGAAGACCAAAAAAAACACCGATACAATCTAAAATACAGACATGTAATATATGCAGCAATTTAATATATTTAAAGACTTGATTTTGAGTTCTGCACTTCAATAGGTTATAGGTGTGAAGTTTTTTTATTCCAAACACGTTAAATAAAAGTTAAAGATGAATGTCCTTCCTGTTTCGGAATTAAGAGGAGTGAGAAAAGATTGCAACACCACAAAAAGAAAGACAGTACAACTCACCTCACAGAACCAACCTCATAGAGGAGTGGTTTGCATGATAGCTGTGAGTATTTGCTGTTCAATTTTATCTTCAGAAAGCCACATACTGCTCTTCTTGCGCAGGAGCTCCTTCTGTTCTGCCTTCTTCTGCTCTTTGAGCTTCTCCTTTTTCCGCCAGCTCTCCAGCTTCTCAGCTCTTTCTTTCATCTGCACACATTATCTCATCTCAGTTACAAATCTATTTGCTATATACGTTTTCACTTCACTGCATAGTTGACTAGTTGAGCGCAAATGGTGTCTTGAGACGTTGTTCTTAGACATGCTTCTGAAACTAATCAGATGGCCACACAAATCAGAAACTAACAATATAGGAAAAAGTCTACTTAAACCCACCTTTCATACATGGTCTACTTCACCCCTCCAACTATGAAACTGTGTTTTACCCCATGAACTTTCCAAAACCGTCTATTTCACCTCCTGGGCGGTTTTTGGCAGCGGCTTTGCTACAGTAACAGCGGGTCTGCTTCTGCTACTGTAGCAAAAACCGCCCAGGAGGTGAAATAGACGGTTTTGGAAAGTTCAGGGGATAAAACAGACGGTTTCATAGTTAGGGGTGAAGTAGACCATGTATGAAAGGTGGGGGTTGTAGACTTTTTCCTAACAATATATAGCAACTAAGACTGTTAAGGCTCTCATTTTAGAAGCCCGAATGGATGAGGCAATTAATCAAACAAGTTGGAAGCGTGCAAGCCTGCAAGTACTGCGGGCAACTGGAGCAAGGGATGGAAGGAGACAGGAGGATCGAAGCCTACGAGGGTCTGGCGGAAGTCCTCCTCGAACGCGCGGCGCTCGGCGGCGCGCGTCTGTGCGGCGGCGAGCTTGGCGGCCTTGCGCTCCTGGTTGGCGATGCGGGCGGCCTCGGCGCGGGCGTCGGCCTTCCGCTGCCGCTCGGCCTCCATCAGCTGCACCTCATAGGCGTACTGCCGCCGCAGCTGGCGCATGTCGCGCGCGTACCCCTTGCGCAGCCGGTCCAGCCGCGCCCACGCCTCCCGGGGCTCCGCCGCGGGCTCCCAGCTGCCCAGGTACCCGCTGGGCTTGGAGAACTCGTGCGGCTCCGCCCGCGCCAGGGCCCGCGCGGAGGCGTGGAAGCCCCGGAGGAGGGGGCGCAGGAGGTGGTGGTGCGGCCGGGAGGAGGAGAGCGCCATCGCCGCCGCAGAACCTTTTTTTTTTGGATAATGGAATCGCCGCCGCAGAACTGAGAACAAGATCGCGGTGGCGGCGGAGGTGGGGAGGCTGCCGGCGCGGAGCAAGCGGAGGAGAGAACAGAACCCTCCTACGGCTGGGCCGCGTCTTTTTCCGAAATACAGCCCGGCCCGTGTGTTAGATGCAAGAGCCCAGTAAATGAAGCAGGATCTGCAGAAGGAAATGGCCAACCTGCTTAGGAAATGGTAGATCGGGCACTATTGGACCAAGTTTACCCCGCCGCCCCGAATGCACGAGCATCGAGAAAAGACGGGGCGGGGAGGGGGTGGGGGAGTGTCTCTAGTTCGGATGCCTAGCCGATACCGAGAGGAGAAGCAGAAGACGAGGAGGAAGATACAACATTTGATCTATTTTTAAAATATTCAGATTTAACATTTGCAACATACGTTTGAAGGAAAACACCGAGAGGAGAAGCAGAAGACGAGGAGGAAGATGCAACATTTGATCTACTTTTGAAATATTCAGATTTAACACTTGCAACATACGTTTGAAGACAAATGAAACACTTGAAACATACATCTAAAACACTTGCAAAAACACGTGACAACCATTGTAAGAACATACGCAATATCCAGATAAAACAATGGCAACATATGTGTGAAACATATGTGTGAAACATATGCAATATCTAAATAAACACACTTGCAGCGTACGTATGAAAAAACAGACGAAACATTAGGAGCAGAAGCTTGCAACATACGTGTACAACCATTACAACATCCCGATCTACTTTTACAACATCCATGTAAAACATTTGTAACATAAAAATAAAACATCTGAAACACTTGAAACATAGGTTTACAACATGCGTTTTTCACTCTTTTTCTTCCATACGACGCAGCATAGAGAGGGGGATGGGCAGACGGAGGGCAACGCTGTTGCGGCCCCTTCTGGAGGCGAGCGGAGGGGCGACGGGGATAGGGAGGAAGGGGACGACCATCGACAGCACAAAGTGGTGCCGAGCGAGCTCTAGTCGGCGAGGGTTATAGTTAGCCATGCGACCGCGCGTACGCCCCCGACCCATGTCCCGCGTTTTTGGCCAAGACGCCCGTTAGCCAATGGGGCGGGCCAAGCGTTCGAGCACCAGTCCGTGCACGGCCACCACCCCTGCCCGTGGCACATGCACGGCACGGCACTACCAGCAAAGAGGCGGCCTTGGTGCATTTGGCACGACAAAAAGCGATCACGATGCCACCCCACCCCACGCATATATAAGCCAGCTCGTGGCCGCCTCCTCCATCCATCCCTAACCCTAATCCCCATTCCTCCCATGGCAAATCACGCTCTCGCTCTCGCCACGCTCGCTCTCGCTCTCGCATTCGCGATCCACCACCGCCGCCGCTCTCCATCGACCATCGTCGTTCGTCCTCTCTGGCACCGGTGACCTCGCCGGCGCTCCTCCACCTCGCACTGAGTTCACTAACCCCGTCTCCTCCCTCCTTTTCCTCTCCTGTTTCCTCTCGCTCTCGCTCAGAATCAGTGAACCATGTGAGTTCGTGTTCATGTCACTCCCTCCTCCCCCACCTCGCCGTCGATTCTAATTGGTGTGACGGTGTCTGTCTCATCCTCTAGCTGGCTCGCTGGCTTCTTCATCTTCGACACCGGGCTCCGGGAAAGCAGGTTCGTCACTTTCCCTAACCCTAGATCTGCTCTGTCTCTCTGATCTCTGTCTCTCAAGTGTCATCTCTCACTCTTCTTCTTCTCCGGCACCGGGCTCCGGGAAAGCAGGTTCGTCACTTTCCCTAACCCTAGATCTGCTCTTCTCTGCTCTGTCTCTCTCTGATCTCTGTCTCTCAAGTGTCATCTCTCACTCTTCTTCTTCTTTGCGTGCGGTTTGGTGCTGACGCGCGTCTTCCTCCTCTCGGAGTAGACATGGCCAGAAGCGCCAAAAGCGCCTGATTGAGGGACAGTCTTGGGCTGCTTTGGAGGTCGAGGTCGTGGGCATTTGTCCCGGCTCGTCCGCGGCGATTGCAGTTCCAGCCTACTTACGCTGGGAGAGATCAACATCCCCTCGGCGACGGCGAGGACCAAACGCCGCACACGGACGATGAGTGGAAGTCGAGGACGACGATGACCTACGTGATGATGCAATTGTGATGCATTAGAAGGCATCGACCTCGGTGGCGGCAACCAAATTTCATCGATCTCGATGGCGACGACGGTGATGGTGGAGTTGAGGTCTCCACTGACACTCATGGTACCTCAACCACCTCTGGTGAGAAAGTTTCTGCTGTTTGGGATTACTTCCATGAGATTAAGGAGAATAAAATTCGAGTTGCTGCCATCTATAAACATTGTCGGACGCGATACACTGCTAGATCGTCTGCTGGCACTGGCCATTTGAGACGGCACATGTATCCCTGTATGAGAAAATGTAATCATGCTAGTATGGTCCAGATCTAAGCTTGCTCAAATCCTCGATGGTTTGAAAAATTGGGTGTATGATCCTATGCTTGCTCGCGCACTTTGTTGTGCCGCTTTGATTGCTAGGCTAGACCTTCCTTTAGGGATAGGTGAGACACAGGCTTGGGAGGATTACATTAAGCATGCTCATAATCCTCTGTTCGAGAAGGTTTCTAGGCAGACCACCACTAGAGATATGTGTAAACTTTTTGATGAACAACGTGCTATGCTTATGAAATATGTGTTGCTGCACTTTGCATCTTACATTTCTTTGACATCCGATATTTGGTCCGTAATGCTAAGGAGGATTATATTTCATTGTTGCTCATTATGTTAGTGCAGATTGGGAGTTCTGAGAAAAAAAGTTGTTGGTCTTAGGCTGATTGATGTTTCACATTCTGGTGAAAACATTGCTGATAGGATTTCTAGTGTGGTTGAGGAGTTTGGTTTGATTGACAAGATTTTTTCTGTGTCTCTAGACAATGCTTCTGCTAATTCTAGGGCTTATGAGATTTTGCAACCTATGTTCTTTGGTTATTTGGGTTCTTATCCTGCACCTACAAGAGATGATCCTAACAAGGTGCAATGATTGCTTGCTATGTGTCGTCTTTGTGCATGCCATATCATTAATCTAATTATTAAATCTGGCATGAAGAGGTTGAAACCTTATCTTGAAGATTTCGAATCGCAATAAGTTTTTAAATTCCTCTAATCAAAGAATTGCATTGTTTAAGAACTCTTTGCCCGCTTTCGGGTCTTAGACCTAGAAAGTTTGGCTTTGATATGGATGTTAGATGAAATTCTACTTATTTGATGCTCAAACACTTGCTGCCATACAAGGAAGTCTTTCATGTGTTCATTACCTCTAATTATGGTTCTACTTTGTTGACTGCACAGCATTGATATGTTGCTGATAAAATAATGATATTCCTGGAACTCTTCTATAATTTCACTGTTGTCCTGTCTGGTGTTTATTATCCCACAGCTCCACTTGTTTTGCACCATATGCTTGACATGGTTTGAGCATTTGCAAAATGCTTTGAAAGAGATGCTAATTTTAGAATGATTGCTACTCCTATGAAGCTTAAATTCCTTAAATATTGGGAGAAAATTCCACTGATTTATTCATATGCATTCATTCTTGATCCTAGAGCTAAGATGAAAGGGTTCTTTAATGTGCTTGAATTGCTTGGTAAGACAACCTGGATGCATTTATAGTGTATACTATGGTGATGTGAAAGATGAATTGTATAGATTGTTTGCCAAGTATGAATGAAATTTGGTGCGATTAGGTCTCGAGAGGGTTTCAAAGGCCTTGACTCATACACTGGTAAGACAAAACAGGCATGGGGAAGGATCTTTGGAGGTCCTGGTGAATCCCCTATCGGTTCCCCCTCATCTTCATCTACTCCATCTGCTGTCAGTGAGCTCAAAGCTTACTTGGACAATGACCCTGTCACATGTTATGAGGAATCCTTTGACATACTCCTCTGGTGGCGTGACCACAAGCTAACCTATCCAATCCTATCTATTATGGCTCGAGATATCATGTCTGTCCCTGTATCTACTGTCTCTTCCGAGTCTTGTTTCAGCTGTACATCCAGGATACTCGAAGACTGGCGACGACGCTTGTTGCCTGAGCATGTGGAGATACTCACCTGCATCAAGGACTGGGAGCAAGGTGCAAGAAGGGAACAACATACACCTGAGGACCTGGACCTGAAGGAGGCATTCAAGAACCTCTTCCTCGATGAACAAGGCGAAGGCAGCGGCACCGGCGGTACTGCTGGTGGTGGTGGATAGAAGAAGAAGAAGAGAAGAGGAGAGGTAGACACTCACTCAACTAAAACTTTCAAGTTCCATATTGCTTCTTTACATTCAAGTTCACTAACATTGCTTGCTTCTGTACAATTTTGCAGGTACTTTTGGTGTGACAGACGACAAAGTGAGACAGTGAGTCACTATGAATGTTGCCACTGATGTTGGCAGTTGCCTATTGTAATAGGATAGAACTTTTGCGGCTATGAACTCACTAAGTCACATTGTCACAATGACTTTGCCACTGATGTTGGCTATTGTAATAGGATAGAAGAATTAAGACTTTGACACTTTAGAGCTGGCTGTACTCTTTTTTTCTTTCTAGGGTTTCTCACAAGGGTGAGTTTTACCTAGAAAGGTTTTTAATGAGGCAGCATTGCACAAAACAACTCATATTCATATAATGATATAATCTTGTCTTTTGTCCCTTGTCCTTGTGTTCTGAGTTGTGAGCTGGGCTATGGGCCGGCACGGCCCGATGAAAATGGTTGTGCCCAACGGGCGGCATGGCACGGCCAAACGGCCCACGGGCCATGCCTTGGGCCAGAGGCCGGGCACGAGCACGCCATAGGCACGGCACGGCCGGCCCGGTGGCCCGGTGAGGCACGACGCCGCGTCGGGCCGGCACGGCCCGATGGCCATCTATAGCAGGGGTGGGAAAAAAGGGGCCGGCGGGGAGCTCTGGCCAGGCAGAGACGGGAAGAAGGGGCCAGCAGAGAGCTCTAGCGGGGTGGGGACCTATGTGATATACATATCATGTCAACTAGCTCATTTAATATGTAATTTGTAGCATATGCATAACATGTGGAATTATAAATATGATATTTTTTTTATTGATGGTTGCATAAAGCGATCGTGTGAGCTATGAACTTGTTACTTTAGTTATTGTGTAAGTTGTTTTATTTTATTTGTATGAGCATGAATGACTGAATTATGAATCTATAATGTATTGTGGCTTGTAAACTATAGTATATTGGCCGTATACCTGGCCATGCAGACCGCGGGCTCGTGGCCCGGCAATTTGGCCCGACCCAAGCATGGAACGGCCCGGTGGCCATCGGGCCTAGGCCGCCCCGGCCCGAAGGACCAGGACGTGCCTGGGCCGCCACCTAGGCCAGCAAGCACATGCACGCGACGCACGGCCTGGTGAAAGAAAGCGGCCCCAGTGGCGGCCCAGTGCCTCAACGGCTAGTGAGGCGGCCGTGGCAGCCCAGCCTGACCGCCTCCCCGCCTCCCATTGGCCGTGTATATCTTGCCCCCCGCCCCCTGATCCCTAACCCTAATCCCACTCTACTCCCGCCGCTCGCAGTCGCAGTCGTCTCGTCTCGCTTGCTCTCGATCCGCCGCCTAGAGCTCGCCGTCGCTTGCCTTGAGCTCACCGGCCTTGCTCCGGTGACCTCGTCACCGCTCGTCCACCTCGACCTGAGTTCGCTAACCATCTCCTCCCTCCTTTCCCTTCCTATCCCCTCTTCCCCCCTCCTCCGATGTACCATGTGAGTTCGTCGTGCCTGTCTGTCCTTCCGCCGCCGCTCGTCGTCGTTGTAACTGTTGTCTGTCTCCTCCTCTGGCTGCCTCCCTGGCCTCTTCCCCCCTCCTCTGGCTGTCACACTACTACTAAGACTTTGACTCTTTGAGCTGGCTGCACTCTTTTTTTTTCTTTCTAGGGTTTCTCACAAGGGTGAGTTTTACCTAAAAAGATTTTTAATGAGCCAGCATTGCACAAAACAGCTCCTTTTGATCATCATTTTCATATAACCTTGTCTCTTTGTCTTTTCTCTTGTGTTGTGATTTGTGATTGTGGTACTGTGGTGAATGTGAATCTGTGAGCTTTTTGTGAAAATGGTGATGAAAATGATGGAATCTTGTTCAAAACTGGTGAAAATGAAGAAGTGGTTCAAACACTCGGTGAAAATCTGGTGAAAATGAGATGTTTTTTGGTTGTCGTGCTGTGGGCCGGCACGGTACGGGAAAAATGGCCGTGCCCAACGGGCGGCACGGCACGGTCAGACGGCCCACGAGCCGTGCCATGGGCCGTAGGCCAGGCACGAAGCCTGTGGAGGCACGGCACGGTAGGCACGACAGCCCGTCGAGGCAAGACCCCCATCGGGCCGGCACGGCACGACGTCTGGCCGTGCCGGGCCGGCACGGCCCGTTGGCCATCTATAATTGGCCGTGTTCGCTTCGCTGAAAAGCCATGGCTGAAAGTACCGTTCGCTGATTTGTTGTGAGAGAAAAATACTATTTTTTCGTTGAAACAGTACGACTCATAAGACAAGCGAACAGATCCATTGTCCGTGTAAACTCTATGTAAGTGAGATTGACATATTTGCATGCCATTTAACTATGAATTTATTATTTCATATCGCAATGATTTTTTATTATTTGATCTTTCTTGAATATACTTGACGGATACCTGATACCCGTTGGACGTGAGCATAGGTAAGAAAGCTAAGATCACGAATATGCTTGCGGACAGATAAATACTCAACCCACACCTTACTCGACCTGCTACCATATCGTATGGCCGAAGGTGATTATAATCATGAATATGCTTGCGGACGAATAAATGGTTTATGCGCACCTTACTCGACCCGCTGCCATATCCCTACTCCGGACGCCTAGGTCAGATCGCTGGTCTTTGAATCAACCACGGGCTGACGGGCATGTTCGGATACGTCCTGAGGACGCACGCCAAAGCCGCAGCGACCAATTCATTCGTGAGCCGGCGGGAAAACGAGAAAAGCTACCCAACGCTGAAGGAAAAAGCATGGCAAGCCAAACTAGCGTCAAGTTACCCTGGGACGAGTTTTGACAAGCCCCGAAAGCAATCCAAATACGTCACTCTAACAGCTTGCCTAAAATGAGTAGCCAAAATTTATTATTTAGTTAGCTATTTTATAAAATAGAAAACTCCTTAAAAAAGAAGAGGTCAACAGCAACCTTACTACTCCCTCCATCCCAAATTGTAAGACGTTTAACTTTTTTTTTTTTTGACTCCAAGCTTGACCACTTGTCTTATTCAAAAAATTTGTGCAAATATAGTCAAATTTAAGTCATTCTTGAAAATTTTTTATTAATAAACCAAACCACGACGAAAGAAGTGATATTTTACACAAATTTTTGAATAAGACGAGTGATCAAACTTGGTGTCAAAAAAGTCAAACGTCTTATAATTTGAGATGGATTGAGTATTTTACAAAGTCAGATAGCGAGCGTCCATGATTGACTTTATATGACCACAAATTTTTATTTTACAAAGTCAGATAGGATATTTGTTGGAGCCTATTTTTTACTATACAAATTCTAAAATAGGCTCCACAACAAAAAAAAAAAAATAGTGGAGTTGATATGTTTTCTCTTCGTAATAAAGAGCCGACATCCACACACAATACAATGCTTAATAGACTAGTCAAGAGACGACGACTTATTGACATCTACCACCTAGATGTTGTACATGCCCTAACTTAGGTTCTCTAAAACGCCTTATGTTGATGACTGAGAGTAATTAATTTAGAGGAAGAATGGAACTAAATTGCATGCCATTTGATTAATTAGTTGACCTAGGCAAATGCAATAATAAGCAATTTTCACAAACCGAGAAAACAATTAAAAAAACTGTAGGCAATATATGGAGAAAAGCTGCATAGGCATAGAAATGGCCACTCTTGACCAAGAGACACTTCTATCTCAAAAGGAGAGAAGAGAGAACCCAAGGATAATTCAGTTACATGAATATGGTTTTCCCGACGACCCATATACCATGTTGCTATGTGCTAACAGCATCCTAGCTCTAAAACTCCCCAAAAATAAACAGCCTAAAGAATGGAAAATGGTCGCTGTCGACCCATCCTTTTAGTATGTACAGTGTAACCTCCCAGCAGTAATTGCTACTCTTCTTTTTTCTCTAACTGTATAATGGTTAAAATTAGGTCAAATAGTCAAATGATCCGAACAAACAGTAGCACAGCATGACAACGGCTTGGAGAATTTTCATCCAGATTCATGGAGGATGGCTCTCTTCAAACTTGTACCTTCCACCTAAACAGAAAGCATGCTCAGTAACTATAAACCCAGAGACTGATAACAAGAAATCCGATAAGTATCTAAATGGAATATCGGTAGATTTACCTGCCATCACAACTGTCAGTCGCCACTCTAAACAGAGGCAATGAAGTTCAGAAGTCTATCATTGCCATCCGCGGCAACCACCACAACTCCAATTGCCGCTCACAACGGGCTCTAAACCTTGGTCCCACGGTGAGCAATGCAGGTGTATGAGCAGGCCACAGACAGAACATCGTAGATCGGGTGGCGGCTGAGTATTCATGCAGTTGCGGCATGCTACCTCTTCAGGTGTGGAACCATTTGTTGGGAAGTTCATATTTGAAGCTCCATCTTCTACCATGAAAGACATATCATCAAAACCAACTCCTTGTTGAGCAAAGCTTCCGGTGCCGTTAACATCATCTTGGAGACCAGTAGCCATCCCAAATGCATTGTCAAGGTGTGTGTCATCAGCTTCAAGTAGCTCAGTGAACGAGAAATAAGTTTGGGGCTCATACTCGTCCATCACAAAGCTGCCACAGCTAGTGTCATTCTGCTGGTGATTAGAAGTGAAATCAGGTGGGGCAGCATATGCAGTTCCTTTGGAAAAATCCCACCCCAATAGTTCTGAAGCATCCACACTGTCAGCCTCCGAAAAAGAAATTTCATTCATATGGCTGAAATTGATGTTTCCATAGCCTGAAGGTGTATTCTGGATATAATACTCATTCACAGGTTTACCAGCTTGATCAAGGTATTCAGAAATTTTAGTTTGTGCTCTTCTTATAGACAGCTTCTGGTTACTTCCTGGGGCAATGCTTGCCGTGTTCGCTGATATATCAACATCCCTTGTTTCTTCCCCAATTGGTTCAACTATTCCATATGAAGCAAGCAGTGGGTCCTGATCTGCTAAAGCAAAAGTCTCCTCACTAGATAGCATAGTTGACAGCAATGATGTTGCAACTGTTTGCTCACTAATTTCTGGTTCAGGCTTTACATAATTATCTGAATGAGGACATGGGGGTATGGCTCTCCTTCGGCACCTACAACATCGGTATCCAACCAACTCACCAAGCCTATCTTCATCAAGTTGCAAGGAATCACCATGAAACCAATCTGTAAGCAGGGAATTTCGAGATGTTAAAAAAAGAACTGAAACATAACACAAAAAAAGATAATGATCTAATCTACAGCAATGCTAAATAAACTTACTTGTGCACTTCTCACAGCGTACATACAGGAAATCCGGAGAATAAGCTTTGTCACATAGACAACATTTTGGTTTTATTGACGAACCTATACCATCCTTGCTTTTAAGGATTACATTATTCGCCCTGAACTCACTTCCATCATCCTTGTCATTCTTATTTTTCTTCCATATGAGACCAAAATATGTGATCGGTTGAACTTTTTAGCCTTCGTTGGTTTTTCTGACTTTGACTTTTTAGCTTTTTTCTTTGGACACTAGTGATATTCTGAGTTGCCACTTTAGCGAGTGGCTGGGCTTCCACCTTCACGAGTGGCTCGGCTTTCACATTCACAACTGGCTGGGTTGTAGCTTCCACCTTTCCAACTGGTTGTGCTTTAACCTTTGTGACTGGCTCGGCTTCAACTTTGGGAGCAGGTTCAGCAGAATGGGAAGAAGTAACCTTAAATACAATTCTGGGAGCGGCCACTGGCTGTTGGCCATTACTCTTCTGTTGATGCTGGATATAACTTGCATTTGTATTTGTATTGTAACTAGTGAGCATAAGACTCTGCTTCTGGAGGCATAACTTGCATATCAAACTGGAAGTAGCACTGCCTCCTTTGCTAACAACAGATCTTGATGTACACTCTTTATGACAATTACCTGAAAGTTATTTTTAGATAGCAACATTGTGACTAAAGTATTCGAAATATAAAAAATTGATCAAATATCTTCTTGGATATTACAAAGATTTTTTTGGAAAACAGATAATCTAAAAGCACGGCATATATCCATACCTTGACAAGAGCTGCATTTAACAATATCCCTGCATGTGATCAATCAAAATAGAAAAAGTCAGTATCTCAAGAAGAATAAATGTATAATTGTTAATCAGTATATGAGGCGACGTAGAAAAACCTGTAGAGAACATCCTTCTTGCATGAGGTGCAGGGATAGACTTCTCCCTTGTGAAAGAGATAGGAAAAGACATCTCCGTCAGATGCTTTTACTCGCCTTGGGTATAAATTGGTAAAACAGTTAGAGTCTGGAATTCCTGGAGTAGGCAAGGAGCTAGCCTCAGCATGCTGCTCAAATTCTCGTAACATGTACAGTGGCACATGGTTTTCAGAAAACCACAATTTTCTACTTTCATCCTGATCACTTTCTGCTTCCAAGATATTTTTTGTCAGACGGACAGGAAGATGCTTTTGGTTGGGAAACTTAAGTGCATATCTTATCTTATTGTCGATTATTTTTTTATCACAGAGTACAGCATTTCTGAGGGCAGAAAAGTCAGCATCAGAGCTTTTTCCATCTGAAGGAATTTGATCTGGAGGGATGAACTCCTTCCATCTGATGTGGGCATCAAGATATCTAACCTGAGAGAAATGATTATTAGGTTTGTGCTAAGGTAGGTTCTTTGCAACATCAGGACAGAAGTGCAAACCTGCAGAGCAAGTCGAGATGAAGTCTGGCTTAGTCCAACACATGCTCTCCAGAAAAATTGCCGAGATCGTCTTGGAAAATTGGAACCTTCATGGTAAGATAAACCTGCTATCCTTTTTTTACCACCTAGTAGGTGACAAGAACACGGCAACTTGTTCATGTCCTGAATACTGATAGAGGATCAAGTAAGACTTCTAATAGTTAAAACATGTAATACCTTGGCGAGCAGCTTTTCTTATGGTTGAATGTAGAAGAGCCCCTCTCTGCAAAGTACGTTTTGTTATATTTCCTCCGGTCCACCAAGTCCAGCTGTTGTCATCGTCAGTAGCAGTACCAGATTCAGATGCCAACAAACGTTTTCTGCCATGCCTTCCACCAGCCCCACGCTTTTGGTATTGTGCAGGACGAGATGCTACCGTCGATGGACCCGGAGATTCCACAGGCCAATCGTCTATTGGCTTCAACCAGCTTGCAGAAAATGCTACTCCACGGATGTTGCTTTCCAACTGCATATAATATGTAACAAGTTTTAATACAACAATTGAATTCGTTTTTCACTGCTATTTATGGCAATAACCTTCTTCAGCTAGGCTATTTATCTTTCTTTCAATACCATTTATTGCATATCTAACTTGATTCTCCAAAAGCAATTAATACACAATATTATCACATTAACATACTGCTCTCTCCATTCCAAAATGCAAGTCATCTGGCTTTTCTAGATACATTGTTTAAATTAAATGTTTTTACTATGTATCTAGACATAATGTATATCTAGATACGTAGACGTAGTAAAAGCTATGTATCCAAAAAAATTATGAACAACTTACAAATTGAAACGGTGCGAGTACTATATATCCACTCTTTTGTTCGCCTACAAAAGACATCATCTAGTACTTATAATCATACCAGAGTTGTGCTAGTGAAGCACAAGGTGGCATTACCATGCAACTTTTCTATTCTGTTGTATCTTGTATGTTTATCGCAGTGGCTCTATTAGGAGAATTTTCTTTCGAGTGAGTTGCTTTTCACACCAGGTACAGTATTCTTTGTTTCCCTTTGCACTAGGTTAACAAACAATTTTATTTTGCACCCTGTTATGTTAAAGTAAGTTTCAACATCATGAAACCATAACAAATCTAATAAAACCCTCATGGTGCCTCATATACATGATTGAAAGCCACGAAGTCTCATGAAAGTTTTATTTCACAAGGTTTTGCTCAAATCAAAACTTACTGTGGCATACACTGTCAAGAAATGAAAATATATACATATACCAGTTCAAACTGAAACAAGTTTAGCTTTACATGGGGCAAAGTAAAATTTACTATATCTTTCCCTACTGAATTATCTATTTCACAAAACACCTTTCCAGCTATTTCTTTGAGTCAAATATCAATGATTTATAGGAACAATTTTTTGTTGGTTTCTAACATTAGAGTTAATTTCATTTATTAGATAAAATGCATGCAAGGATATTATGTACCTAGCTCAAGCTGCATAAGAAACTGAAAAATATTATTCTATTTGATGCCACCTTAACACTGCTGGCATTCACAGCAATATGCTTATCACAACTTAGTTGTAGAATATTGAGAGGTATCAAAGGATGCCAAAAAGAAAATCCTGTAACTCACCTCAAGCAAGAGGGGTATTATAGTTCTGCAGCTGGAAGCTTCTTCTAGTTGTTGATGCCACCGTTCTCTCTGCTGCACGTCTTGTAGTGAACCAACCAACAGGGCACGCAAACTTTCCTCCATGTTGGCTAAATAAGCAGCAATACTGGGGAAGTGGCTGTCAGAATTTTTTATTACACGCATGGTGCTAAGAACTCGAGCAGAACTTTTAGCAGCATTTGTCGTGGTCATGTTAAGAAAACAAGCCTTTTTGTTTCCACTTGCTGAACTTCTGCAAGCAAGGCACCAACCACATCTATCTCTTGGAACTTCAATAAGCTTCTTTTCAGTACTCGGCCAAACAAATTGTGCGACTGCTGAGGAAAATGCTTTCAACTGTAGAGCATTGTCTGCAGCCACTTTCCTCTTTGGTTTTAAGGTCAGTTGGGATGCAGAAACCTTACCTTCATCGGATGTTATAATAGCTAGATTGGCAGCAGCAGACGCTGCAATGTTGCCATGATTGTAGAGATTCATGTATGCTTGTGGTTTAAAAGAAGACGATTTTGCTGCCTTGCCACAACTCATGTTTCCAGATCTTTCAGTAAACAGCTGAAGGTGGTGTTTATCTTGCAAAGATGGACGAAATGATTCTGCCTTTGCAGAAACAGTGGATACATCTGGACGATATATACTATGAGCTGGCTGTGCTTGTGCTATGTTAGACATAACCATTCCAACGGATCCATTCTGATGAGAAATGGAGGATGGCACAAATGGTCCAGAATTTCCATTTCTAGGTGCATTATGTATGTTGTTCTGAGCTGACAGAGCTTCCTTGCAAACTTCAACATTCTTCTCGGTGACAACACCTAAGCTTGACATGCATTTTTGTTTCTCCAGGTGTTCAGCAGAGCACACTGTATACTGATTAGCGACAAATTTCTGTTGTGTATTTGTTTGAGGAAGTGCTACTGTTTTACTGTCCCCACCATCTTTTGAAGTTGTCCAGCCACTTCCATCTTCTGACTTTGTTGGAGTAAAACTCAACATACTGGATTGTGGAGTATGTCTTGTACCAACTTCTTCCAATATTGTTGATCTCTCACTCTGAACTGTACCGAGTAAATGTTTCCAGTATTCCATTATTTGCCTGCATATATCCACATATGCATCTGAGGGAGCAAGTCTCTGGAGGACCTTGACAACATCATAATGATTGTAATATCTTGCATAAGACTCTACATCTGAAGATGTTTTGATCCTGCAGTATTTGATGGAACAAAACATTAAAGGAAGTATAGGACAAACAATAGCAGGTCATGCAAAACAAATCTTTAGTAGACATATTGTATGATTAATAAGCAAGAACTTACACCAGTAAATAGTTGCAGGTTCCTATGAATAGCCTCCCGCACATATCAACGCCAAACATTTGAGCTCCTCTTGCACCACGTTCAATTCTTGACGAAGTTGGTCCAAGCTTGTTGACCACACATTCTGGACAGAACCAGTCTCCATGGGGAAGGAAAGCTTTGTTTTGACCAATACATCTCGAATGATATGCCCATGGGCAGCCATCACAGCATACCAAAGTCCCATCCATTCCACATATTCGGCAATCATCACTATTGCCGTCCTGAGAAACATCTGCTACAGCAACATCTGGATTTGTTACATTTGGAGCACTTTCAAAGTTCTGTAAAGCATTCATCATTTTGTAAGCTGAGGCCTTCGAGGCTCTAGTCGAGACTGCCCTTGAACCAGCCTCCCAAAAGGTGCTAGAATCTATCTCATATTCCATCTCCTCATTGTAGCCTACTCGATCATCCAGTACAGTTTTGAATTCTTCTGATTCAAGGACATGGTCACAGAGTATTTGCAGCACCCTCAACTTCGTGGCAACAGGAAGTTTATAGTATTCGGCAGCTAGGAGGTTTCTAGCAAAACTCTGCGCCCCTAGATTCTTAATGCACCTCATCACATACAGGTACTCTAGTAAGAAAGTTGGCCAAGTCAATGCATCTAGTAATGTCCAATCCAGATACCTGTACACGGTTCAAGGAAAGTGAAATATTGTCAGAATTTTAAGTAAAAAATAAATGCAATACCTACAAAATAGTTACTGTATTTAAAAGGGGGTTGATAGAGTATATGTACTTTAAGCAATTCGAAGCCATCTGAGATCCTTCAGCAGATTTAGATTCAAGATGCCGCTTCAGTGCCCGCAGTAGCGAGACATGTACGGCATCCAACAAGTTATTCTGAACAGCGCAATTAATGGCTGCAACAAAATCATCCAGCCCAAACGGACTCAGGAACAGCTGCACGCTGAAGGATCGCAGGAAGTTATAAACCGAAAAGAGATAGCTTATGGAATCTTCTGGCACAGGAATGTCTCCCGATGACGGGGGCAACTCCACAGCCTGTACAGGAGGGCACGTCTCGGATGGTTCTTCTTTAGTGAAATCAGATGAATTACTCGAAGATTCGATATCCCCAGACATATCCGAGCCAGACCCACTACACTGCAGCGCATCAGGGTTGGCAGGCATCTCACATCCGTCAACCCTCTGCCTAGTACTTGCTGGCTCTTTCACCTCCGAGGCACTCCCCGACAAAACCAACAGGTCTAGCTTCCTCTTCCTGCAGCTCACCTTCATGCCTAACGCACAATTCTCGTCGGGCATGAGGAACTCCTGGAGCTGAGGAAACGCCAAATCCTCAGCATGTCCGTCCTCAAACACCACGCTGTAAACGCCAGCTGTGCTATCATAGGACGCAACCTTCCCAATAAGAAGGCTCGCATGCCCTGGCACGTGGCGGCCAATGTAACGGCCGACCAAGCACTCCCCCGCCTCCTTGGCGCGCACCTGAAGGCCCCCAGCAGATGTGGAAGCAGGCCCTTGGTTCACCACCCTTCCATCAGTTTCCTCCACCTTAGCCTCTCCCGCCACAGCCGCTCCCGCGCATTCTTGTTCCTGAACAAGGCTACCATCCACCTCCACCTTCACTTCAGACGCCCCAGCCGCTCCCGCGCACCCTTGTTCCTGAACATGGCTACCATCCACCTCCATCTTCACTTCAGACGCCCCAGCCGCTCCCGCGCACCCTTGTTCCTGAACATGGCTACCATCCACCTCCATCTTCACTTCAGACGCCCCAGCCGCTCCTGCACACTCTTGTTCCTGAACACGGCTGCCATCCACCTCCATCTCCACTTCAGACGCCACAGGAGCCAAATCCTGCGCTGCCCCCGGATCGCTCCCCACATCCACCTCGCTGGCCATACAAGGCGACGGAGAGCGCTGCTTCTGCTTGCTCGCGTCGCCACCCTCGTCCACTTCAATCTTCGCCTCAGACACCGCGGGATCCACATCTTGCGATCCCCCCACAATGCCGCCCTGAGCCACCTCACTCGCGGCGTGCACAGCAGTCCGCCCTTCGCCCGCGCCGCCGTCCCCGCCCGCCTCACGCGCCGCGGGGCGCTCTTCGCCCGCAGCAGCAGCAGAAGCGCCGCCGTCTTCGTTAGACTCCGCCGTGGGCTCGCTCGCGGAGGCCTCCGCGACCGCGTCACCCCCACGCCGCGCCGCCGCCGCGCCTCCACCCGGCTCGGCCTCACCGGCCACGCCTGCCGCAGCAGGCGCTTCCGCCCCACCGGCGGTCTCCGTCTTCACGCCACCAACGGGGGAGGCGGCGGGGTCCGGCGGCGCCCGATCGGGATCGTCCCGTGGCCCGGTGCCCGCGGCGGCGTCTTCCATGACCGGCCCCCGGGCGTGAGAACCCTAGCTTTCTCGCACGCGCCCTACCGAGGCATCCTCGCTCGCGAGTCCAGGGCGAATGGTACGGGTTCCGACTGGGGTGTGGGCGGAGGCGCGTGGGCGGGCACGAATCTGGGATGGGAGGCGCGGCGGAGGCGGGCGATTGGAATGGGATGCGCTCGCAAACCCTACGGCGAGTGGCGGCGGCGAGGAGGAGGAGGAGTTGGGGGAAGAGGGGGAGATGATGATGGATGGAGGAAGGGAAGGGAAGGGGAGGAGAAGCACTGGGACACCAGCGCAGCGAGTGCACGAGGGAAGGCAAGTGCAGGGGCAGGGCACCGAGCGCGCCGCACCCGACTCGTCGCACCCCAGCCTGGCTCGCGTCGCTCTTCCCGGGTTGCATGTGCGGGTGCGGGTGCGGGTGCGGGTCGTGGCGCGGCGGTGGGACGTGGCAAAATGGTGAGACGTGGCAGAATGGTGGGCGTTGGTGGTCTGGCTCTGGCTGGTCCGGACCGTCCGTTGGGGAGAGTTCGCTCGTATGCGGGCGGGCGGGCGGGTGCCGGTGCAGACGGACCCGGTGCGGTTGAGCGAGCGTGCAGGTGCAGGTCGGGCCCCCTCGTCGTGTCCGCGGCTGCGCGCCGCGTCCAGTCCAGCCTAAACGTACGGCGGCCGGTCGCTGGTCGACGGCTGCGCGCAACCGCATCAAGGCGGGGCGGTGGTGGTGGTGGAGGGAAGCGGAGGGAGGGGTGTTGGGAGTTTTTCAAATTCAAAACCGGTGGAGGGGTCGCCTGCTGAGGTAGTAGGGTAGGGCAACGGTTTGCTTGCTCGCTCGCGCCAAGTCGCCGCGCTTGGTCGCGGTGCTTTCCTGGTGGTGGCCGTAGCGTGTGCCCGGTGCTGAGCTACGCAGCGCCACAAATTCCGCGGTGTGTGTGGGCTTCGTTCTGCTCTTGTGCGTCAGTGCGTCCACGGTCCACCCTCTGTATTGGTTAAGTTCTAAGGTCCATCTTTGCATGTAACAGCTAGCAAGCTACCTGACTTACTCTCTGTCGAGTTGCTTGTGCACGTGCTTCTTTTTTAACTAAGATGGCACATCGTCCATATATAGTTGGGAGTGTGCAGTTGAATGAACACGATGCATGTGTTGCATCTTAGTACATGAAACTCTGGTGCCAAATCATGATCCCTATGTAGTATATATATGTGTAGGGTATGTTCACATGTTGTGTAGGATATATATATATATAACATCTTCGTTCTCGTCTCAAAGGATTCAACGATCATTTACACTAAAAAAGCTATGTATCTAAAAAAAAATACAGAACTACATACATTTGAAATGGAGGAAGTAGTTACTACACACATCTATAAATATAACACCTTCTAGTCTATAAATTAAACCTAATTAAGAAGGGACACAAAAGTCTTTCAGGCCTAGGCCTTGTTTAGATCACCTCCAAATTCTAAGTTTTTTCACTCTTTCTCCATCACATCAATTTTTAGCCGTTTGCATGGAGCATTAAATGTAGGTAAAAAAAATAACTAATTACACAGTTTAGTTGGAAATCACGAGATGAATCTTTTGAGCTTAGTTGGTCCACGATTGGACAATATTTACCAAATAAGACGAAAGTGCTACTATTCATCGGGTTGAAATTTTTTACAATCTAAACATGGCCCTACCATTAAAGCAGTTGGGTCAGCTCATGATTGGCGCAATTGATGGGGTGAGCCGGCTCCTGGTTGTTGGCTACCTCTTTATTTGGTACTTAGAAACCCTTATGTTTGTGTGAACAAAATTTGAACACCATAAGTTCCTATATTCATGGGTGGAGTGAGTAGGTGAGACTATGGATCTATACATTTATTTGGAATGCAAGCATACTGCAAATATTATGCAGAAACAAGGGCTACGTGTTCCAAACTAGATAAAAAGGTTTGGGTCTCACATAATTGTCTGTCAACAACTTGTATGTGCCTTTTCTTATCGTGTGTGTATCCTGTTTCGAAGTATATATAAGGACATTTTAATATAGCCTTTTTGTGACTCGTCCAAAGTGGCATGAGCTTTGCCTTTCTATTAGGACCCGGACGTTGGTAAAAATCCCTGAGCAAAAGACTGATGAAATAGAAGATTGCACGGTAAAAATGGATCATTGATCTCCCCTGCTGGTGCCAATGCACCATAATAAAGTCATTCCAAGAATTCTGGAGAGTCAAATTAAAGCATCGTAAGTTTGACCAAAATTATAGAAAGAATTATAAAGATTTATGACATCAAATAGATATACTATAGAAATATAATTAATGAAGACCTAATGATATTTAGTTGGTATCATAAATGTTATTACCTTATCATATAAATTTAGTCAAACTTGAGATTTTTTGACTCTGCAAGATTCTTGGAATGACTTATAATTTGGGATGGAGGGAGTAATCCTTTATGTTTTTTTGATGTGTTAGAGAGTATTGCACCAGGGCAATATTAGTGCTAGCTTCACCCCTGAAGGTCCCTGACACAGTTTAGCGGAGGAGCCATGCACATGTGACGCGTAGAATGAGGGGATAAAAGGTGAAAACTATGTTTATCTAGAGCAAGGGAATTCTTTGAATCCTTTTTTTGAATTGCCATAGTTCATGCAAAGTTCTATGAAGCTATTGCCATTCAAGTATGCCAATAGTTGTCTTACAAGGTGCATGAATAGCATGGAAAAGGTACACACGATCAAAGAAACTATGAAACTTGAACTACACAAAAAAACTAAAGTGAATAGAAATTTAGGCCTTATTAAGCAGTCCCATTTATTGAAGAAACATTTCTGGTGGAAAACCGATTCTAATTCTCTTGGGAAGCAGGTTTTTGTGGTTTACAGGATGTGGTAGAGTCCAGGAAACATTTTTAGTTTTGACATTGGATCTCTAAGTCATTTGGTAGGGATTATGTGAAGGTTTGAAAAATCCTTACCAAACTAGGCCTTAGTTTGCACATAGCCACTAATTAAGATTCTCTTTGACAGAGAGTTGAGAATATGTTTAATTTCGTATATACCTTCAGCCCCATATTGATAAGCGTATCTTATACGAGGAAAAGTCAAATTTAAAAAAAAAATCTCGACCTGCAGGAGGTAAGCCACCCCCTGGGCATTGCTGTAAGAGAGAAGACCTTCTCACACAGGCCGAGAAAACCCCCAAACCTCTGCCCCACCCTTTGGCAAGTCAATTTTTATCAACTTTGACTAACAAGTATTCACATTATACACAAGTTTTGGGTATAAAATTTGCATCAATAGATTTGTATTTGGAGTACACCCATGAGGTGATATTGGTTCTTTAGCAAATGACAATAATATTGGAAGATAAATTAAGGGTCAAAATTTGTTTTATTTGACTTTTTTGTAATCAAAATACCTCATAATTTTGGGATGGAGATTACATTCTTCTACAAACTTGACAAATATACTAGGAAAAGTATTTCAAGAATGTACCACACAACTAAATGTGAACCACAACAAAATTTAAAGAGTTAAATGCATTAGCGGCCTCTAAACTTGTCAAGAGGTGTCAATTGGGTCATCGAACTTTGAAAACACATTCACTACTACCAAATCCATTTTTGGAGTCAGTCAATGAGATTTCCAAAGGCTGGCGATATTTCTTCCTTTGGTTTAACTTCACTAGAAATCCCGATTTCCAGAGGCGATCAAAATGCCAGCCTATGAAAATAGGTTTAAAAAACAAACTAAAATGAACCCACCAATGCGCCCATTTCTGTGACAGTCATCGAGCCCGCTAAGCCCACCATGTGCCGCGCCCTAGATTTGTAGCTCCGGCGTCGCACCCTGGATCTTGCATCCCTCGGTCACCCTCTGCCCCTCCCAAGTGCTCCACTACATCGCCTGGGATGTTTGTGCGAATCGCTCCACCGCCGTCGCCATGCTCCACCACCGCTGGGGCTCCGCCTTAGTAACCTAGATCTACAGCCCTCGGTCGGTCCACCATCATGCGTCTGCCCTTGGCTAGGCCACCGCTGGGTGCTAGGGAGCCACCATGTTGTGTGTGTTCATCTTCTGCTACCATTGGGTCATCGCCGCAGCCAACAGAACAGAGAGAGACGAGGGGAGAGAGAAAGGGGGTGAGGGAAGATACGAGGACACGGTGGACTCCAGCTTGCACCGTGTGTTGCCGCCGTAGCCGAAGGCGATGCCGAGTTAGAGAAGGGGCAGCTTCTGTTGGGGAGGGCCGTCGTAGCCAAAGGGAAGCGCCGGTCGGAGGAGCTCGGGAGAGGAGGATCGACGTCTGTTGGGGCAGTGGTAGGGAGGTGCAGGTGGCTGGGATGGATTTCTGAAATGACAACCGAGTGGGATGGATTTCTAAAGCAACTGGGGTTTTTTCTGATGTTATATACTGCGAGGCTGACACCCCAGGCTAAGATGGGCCTAGTAGGCTGTAACACCCTAGTCTGTTAGAAGCATGTAGTAGTTGTGAAAGCATCTAGGCCCCTAGTTGGATTTCGGTGATTAATGACAATACAAGATTACTGTGACTAACGTGTGTTTTGCAGAAGCAATTAAGTTAGGTCATGGTAATGGAGATCGATTGGGCAATCATGGATGTCATGCCCCTACGATGGAAATCGTTTCGGTTTTCAAAGGATGGACGACAAGGTTAAGGATGACTAGTTCTAAGTGTTAATTGGAGTTGGAGAGACACTTAGAGTAGTTTAGGACTTTGTTTTTCCTTTGGCCGTACTATTAAGGGGGGTATGGACGGGTAGCTTGACCTAGGTGAGTCTAGTGAGTTAGGTGTGATGCACACTTGTTAAAACTAGCACTAGGTAGCTCCTAAATATGCCTAAGATCCTTTGGAGCAAACTTCATTCACATATGATTGAGAGTTGGAAGTGAATGAAGGGTCAAAGACTGACCGGACACTGGCTCCAGTGCGACCGGACGCTGGCCGCAGGGTCCGGTCAGTTCATTTGACTAAGGTGAACTAGTCCGGTT